AAGATTGTCCTATCTATTTAAGCGTATTGTTTAACTTAGACACTAAGCTAGCAAGTTTCACTCTTTCTTTATACTATTTCTTAAGCAGAAGCTTACTTATTACTCTTCTACCATAAGCGACTAAATCCTAAAGGGGGATATCCTACTTACTAGATTAACTAACTAGCCTACCTAGTACATTTAATTTAGATACTATGCCCTAACTAAAGGGACCTAGGTAGAGGTAGACCCTAAGGCTCTAGATACTAAAAACCACTTTAAGAATAAACCTATTAAGCCTAATATACTAACAGATATTACGCTATCTAACACAACAAGCAAGTAGTACAAACTTAAAATAGCTTAGTACTAAGCCCGCTTATTAGATTAGGCATTAAAGTTATTAGCAATCTAAAACCTTTTTACATAGGTTAACAATATAGTAGATTAAGGGATCCTTACCCTAGCCTATATAGAGCTTGTTAATTAAGGAAGAGTAACCCTCTAAGCACTTATCTAAGTGCTCTGTAATAACCTAGCGCTAACTAACTTAAGCGCTGCAACACTAGCGAGATCGCAGTACAAAGCTTATCTTACTAAGGCAAAGATAAGTGGCTAAGACGCTAATTACTAGCAGAAGGAGTGGACAATCCTATATACGCAAGCTAAGGTATACAACGTTCCTAATATTAAAGGATAGCTTATAGTACAGGATTATCTTAAAGCTCTATCTACTAGGATCTTACTAGATTAGGGTTAAACTATGTTTTAAAGGATTATTAAAAAGTTAGTAATAGGAGAGCCAACTTACAACCTCCTGCAGGTTGCTAAGATCTATTTATTACTTCTTTAAGAGAACAATATAAGATTAAGCTCTAAGGGTCCTAGAGTGTTTGTAACAATAGGAGCTCCACCTTCTAATTAACCTAAGAAGGAGTCTTTATACCTATGTAGTAGATCTTACCTATAGAAACCTCCTAAATGCAAAAACGTTATTAAAGCTTAGACTAATACAGGTAACAAGCTTACTACTACTTAATAATTAGAGATTAAGAAAAAGATTAATAGGAATCCAAAATTCAAAGAGTTAAGAAAAGCTCTAATTAAGTCCTATCCTAATAATTAAGATTATAGTAGTAAGGCAAGCGTGATTACCTATCTAGGCAGTATCCAGGCGGCACTAATTAACCCTATGTTAATAGCGGAGAAAACGAACAGGATCTATTTAACTATAGACTTTAAAGCTTACGCTCTATTAAAGAGCACTATCTTTAACAACAGAGGTGTAGTGCACCTAGTTAATAATATAAGCTACCTAGAAGAAAGCTTGTTTAGATTGGTTAAATATAAGACAGTTAAAGTAGGAACTTAAGCTTTTCTAATCTTAGGCAGAGGGACTAGAGTAATCCCTAATGCTCTTAATGGACCAAGAGGTCCAAAAACAGAAGATTTAGTGCTTACTAATATAGTATTAGTAGAAGGTTTTTATATAAATATTATATTAGAAGCTTAATTGCTTAAAGCAGGAGTTTAGTTCCTTAGGCTAGATACCACCTTATAGTTTAGATTATTAGGAAAGAGCGTTGTATTAGCTAAGTTACTACGCAAGTTTAACTTAACTTTCCTAGAATATAAGCCCTCTACCCCTTATTAAATAATCTAAAGCATAGTGCCTAAACAACCCTAGCAATCCTAGATAACTTACCTAAGATATAATAGTAAGGAGCTTTAGCACTAACAATTAGGCTATTTAGGACCTAAGGCGCTTAAAGCTCTAGTTAAGTTAGTAATAAACGTTAGGATTAAAGGAACTCCTAGGAGCAAATACGAGCACTACGCTATTACACATGCCTAACAGGTTATATTAAGATAACTAAGGGAAAGATTACTACGTCTATACTACTAGGTATTATAGGATCTATTTAACATGCTAATAGGTATAGCTTACAAGCAATAGATCTTAGTATTAAAGTGCAACTACTTAGGAAAGCTTTATACCTATCTACTATAAGCTAAAAACCTTAATAAGATTATGTAGGTGTTTAAAAATTTTAAGAGCTTAATACTTAACTAATATAAGCTTAGTATAGTTAAGATTATACAAGATAACAACGTTGCAACGCTCCCTTAGCATAGCGAATCTTGCTTTTAGATCTAGGCAGCTAATAATAGTATTAAAATTAAGAGCTTACCTGTATATACCTATAAACCTAATAGAGGAGCAGAAAGAGTAGGGCAGGAGATTATAACAAAATCAATTAAAATAAGGATTAGTGCTAACCTACTAATAAAGCTGTAGCCTAAAATTATTAAAGCAGCGACTTGGCTCTATAATATAAGCCTGTCTTATAATTACAATATAATATTACCTAATAAAGTGCTAGATTGTTAGTTTATAGGATACTTTAGGTAGTAGGCCTAAGCAGTCATCTATCGGTGCAGCGTACGAAAGTACGCTTATG